GGCCGAAGCGAGAGCCAAAGGAGTGGTAACACGTTTGGACCAAAAGCTCCGATTTGAAAAGTCAAGAGCAGGAGTGGAACTCCCAACAAAGTGCTCGAGGAACGAGCACGAAGCGAGCAATAAGCGAGGCTCCAAAAAGGGCCAACACAAGACACGATGAAGGGTCCGAGATGGACTCGAGTTGGAGTCCGAAGTGGAGTCCGAGATGGAGTCCGAGATGGACCCGAGATGGAGTTTGAGATGGAGTCCGAGATGGACCCGAGATGGAGTCCGAGATGGACCTGAGATGGAGTCCGAGATGGAGTCCGAGATGGGACCCGAGATGGAGTCCGAGATGGACTCGAGATGGAGTCCGAGATGGAGTCCGAGATGGGACCCGAGATGGAGTCCGAGATGGACCCGAGATGGAGTCCGAGATGGAGTCCGAGATGGACCCGAGATGGAGTCCGAGATGGAGTCCGAGATGGACCCGAGATGGAGTCCGAGATGGAGTCCGAGATGGGACCCGAGATGGACTCCGAGATGGACCCGAGATGGAGTCCGAAGTCGAGACCGAGACCGAGATCGGGACTGAGACCGAGACCGAGATCGAGATCGGGACCGAGACCGAGACCGAGGCCGAGGCAGAGGCCGAGTCCGAGTCCGAGTCCGAGTTCGAGTCCGAGTTCGAGTCTGAGAGGGTGAAAGCCCAAAGCGTTCGTCTCCCAGACCCTGGGGGGTTTGGTGAGCTCCAAAAGTATAGTAGGGGGAGGTCTGCAGTGGAGCCAGTTTGGCCAGGAAAGGCCAGTTTGGCCCAGGAAGGCCAGACCCAGTGTTGGGTGATGAGCTGCCCACTGGGAAGTCCAAGACTAGAGTGAATACGAACCGACAAGCGGGGTAGCTTGGTGAAGTGTTCAAGAGCCGGCTCTAGTTCCCCTGGGAGATCGACTGGCCGATGCTCCTAGTCCAAGTGTGGGTGGCACTACCTACTTGGATACCAGGCGTGGCTCAATGGAACCTCGCTCTAAGCCCATGGCTAGAGCACCTAAAGGCAAAAGGTGGGGAGAGTACCCAGGTGGCTCGCGTAAGGCCACGGTGTTCCGAAATGTGGTCCCAAAGTCCCAGGTTGTGGAAAGGAAGAGGAGTAGCCCTCTGGTGTGGTGACAAAGGACACGGTCACCCAGTGAGGAAGTCCCAGAGGACAGTTGGACTTAGAGGTCGGGCCTGCAGGCCTTGATCCAGTGGCAGTGTTGGTGAACATGGCCATCGACAAAGAGGGACTTGGTGGGGACCGGAAAAGAGATATTGGGGAAGGTTATTCCCTAAGTCTGCGAGCATCCTAAGGATGCTAAGGAGTGGATCTGGGATGATCCCTCATGGATGGATGGCCTAGTCTATGAGAGACAGGATTGCAATGTAGGTGGTGTTGGACCACCAGCGTGACCAAGGTGAATAGGTATGGCCTCAGCGTAACGGGCCGATATGTCGGTGATACCTTCGGGTGTCGATCATGGGATCGGACACGTGGAGCACTTAGACCAAGTGCAAAGGTTGAGTGGTATGGATGCCATTCTCGGGGCTAGCAAGCCCCAAGTCCTAACTGGGACTTGTGGAGGTTGTGAATGAGACTCCTCCAAGTGGTCGGAGGTGTGGTTAAGTGACTAAAGTAAAA